TTTTAAGATGTAATTAGACGTCTAGTTTAATTTCAATTAATTCTTATAAAATGTTATAAAAAGATGACTGTTTATGTATTTACTTAAAATGAAAATTATGTTAAATAATTATTTCAGATTGCTGAAGGCATGGCTTATTTAGAAACAGAAAACTTTGTCCATCGTGATTTAAGGGCAGCCAATATTTTAGTAGGGGAACACTATGAAGTTAAAGTGGCTGATTTTGGGTTAGCAAGAATTTTACATGAAGAAGATATATATGAAGCAACAGAAAGTAAGCTTGAATATTTCATGTAAATGCATTGTTTTTAATATGTTTACTATTAGCAAGAACTGTACAATACAGGGATGTGATACTGGGTCCACTTTACCAAAATCTAATTAAAATCAGATGACAATTTAGTATTTTTTCGATTTCTGATATTTCTCTCCACATCTTTCTACTAGTACTAAAGGTAGTATTTTTAACCCATCAAAGCAAGTCATGTAAAACCTGTTTCATGATTAAATAAGCAATTGTGGGTTATGGAAACCTTAAATTGAGCAACATGACAGCCTCTTTGGTATAAGCTTTTTCATGATTCCTTAAAAATCTTCAATATTTCTATCCAATTTTAACTAGATTGCCGTTATCACTGGATGATATTTCTTATAAATTCCTTACTGGGACCACTGGCAATGATCATGGCTAAAATGATATCCAAACATTCCAGGGTTATAACAGATGAGTTGAATCAATTATTTTGAGTAAAGTGCTTAAAGCAATTGGTAATCTATTATCTATTTGTTTTAAGATACAAAATTCCCAATAAAATGGACAGCCCCAGAAGCAGCTCTTGATAGAAAGTTTAGTATTAAATCTGATGTCTGGTCGTTTGGTATATTATTATATGAGTTGAATACATTTGGTCGTGTTCCATACCCAGGTAAGTGATCACAGGTTGTTTTTTTAATTCTATTATGATAAAATAGAGTTATCTTCCCTTCCTATATGTGTCAAATTTCTATTTTTGGTTGAGTGTTAAGCCTCTGTATAAAATTTGCTCAGGAATCCAATAAATCCATAAAACTAAATAATTATCCATAAAACTAAATAATTATCCATAAAACTAAATCATTATCCATAAAACTAAATAATTATCCATAAAACTAAATAATTATCCATAAAACTAAATCATTATCCATAAAACTAAATAATTATCTATAAAACTAAATAATTATCTATAAAACTAAATAATTATCTATAAAACTAAATAATTATCCATAAAACTAAATAATTATCTATAAAACGATTTTGAGCTTTTTTAACAATAACTTAGTTTTATGGATTTAGCAGATTATAGAGATTCTGTTGTTTAGTTATGACACAAGGCAAGTCCCAGGATGAAATTAAACTCTTCTCAGCAAAGGTTAAGAATTTAAGTTGCATGTTCATTCTAAGAGGTAGAATTCCTGGCAAATAGTGTCTTTCTAGCTTATTCTGGAGGTATTAGAACAGGTTTTGAATTTTAATTTAATTCTGATTTTTAGGTATGTCCGGTGCTGAAGTATTAAGTAGATTAGGTAAAGGATACAGAATGCCTAAACCCCATGGTCCAGTTGGTTGTACTGATGCTTATTATGATATTATGGTAAAATGTTGGAATAAAAGACCAGAAGAAAGACCAACATTTGAATCACTACACAATTTATTTGATGATTATTTTATTGCTACAGAACCAGATTATAAAGAATCAGATGCAATTTAAATTTCTTAAAGCTTCCAAAGCATTTCAAGTGATAAAAGTGCCTCTAATTTTTGCATTGAGTTGATCAAAACCTAAAATATCATGCTCAAATTTCATTAATAAATTAAAAGCCACCCTTACTCCAAATACTGGTATATCTTAATAGGCATAGTTAACTATTTTCAGAGGTCAATCAGTCCAATTTGGAAATGGGAATTGTATAGCTAAGCTAATTAGTAATAATGTTCACATCTGACT